GACCTAAAATTTCAAGGAATCCAATAGAAGCAAACCAGACAGTAGTACAAGACCCTCCATAAACAGGTCTGTAAAATTCATGACAGATATTCACAGAAAGTTCCTCAGCTTATTATGATTTCTTCTACATATTTTACCTTCTCTTGCCTTTAAACTTCCTGTTCCTTCCAATATCACTGAATTTTTTTCTTAGTCCTGACTCCTACACCAACCCCAGTTAGATCAGAAATCCTTGCTATATGCTCATATAAAAACCACTTTTTATTTTTTTTTATTCTCCAGAGCATTTGTATTGGTTTGTAAACACCTACCTCAGCCCCCAGTTAGATCAGAAATCCTTGCTATATGCTCATATAAAAACCACTTTTTATTTTTTTTTTATTCTCCAGAGCATTTGTATTGGTTTGTAAACACCTACCTCAGGAATGTTTTATAAATTTATTGCAGTTACTTGCTTAGCTCACTTTAATTAATTATTCTAGCGGTCCTGAGTGGCTTGAGAATATGCAAAAAGCAATAAGAATAATCAGAAGATGAAGTAAGAAAGACCTTAAAAATTAAACCAAATATTTTGCACAGGCACCTTTTCTGTCCTAGTTTCCTCAGATTTGTCTGAAATTTTTCAGTGAACTGGTGGAGATGGTGCTTACAAAGAATATTCCCCCCCAGGGCTCCAGAATTTTAATGTTTCTCCTCTCTTTTCCTCTCCATTCTTCTATGTATATTTCCTTGGCTCGTACTATGGCAAAATTATGAATAAAACATAAGATGCCACCACAGTCATGTATGCAACAAATTCATAAAGGTATAGAATTTTAGTGATGGCAGGAAACCTGGGAATAATCTAGTCCAATGCCCACTTTTATAGGTGAGGAAAATTGAGGCCAATTAATGTTATATGACTTAGAAGTCATTTAATTAGCTGAAGAATCGATATGGTAACCTAGATGTTTCATCTTCCAATCAAGTCTTTGTTTCTCTTTCTTCCATTTTTCCCTTCTTTCCTGGGGTTATAAATAGAACAGGAGCACATATTGAAAATATTGAGGTTCAACTGTTGTTGCTCCTTCAAGTAATTTCTAAAATTAAAGTTTTCTTATTTTTTTAAAATGTGATTATCTCCCTATATACCTTCTATTGCCTAGTAATTGAACACTGTGATTACACCAATCTAAAAATTATTCAAGTTTTCACCAAATAACTAAACAGTTAGTTCCTATTAATAATAAAAATCTAGTAAGCATGTCAGAATTTGGTTATAATTAGCTGCTGACATAAACCTGAGGGCAGATCTCACAGTGCTTTAGAAGACACTGGCTTTTGCATTTGCCTCAGAAGGCAGTCCACAAGAGTGCTTCTTCAGATTATTTCTGTAAGTTTTGCAGATCATTAATTCTACTTGCTCAGATTTGGTAGAGTGGCAATGTATTGGACATTGTAAAAATGATGCCCTATCATAAAAATAATCAGCCTCCAGTAAAGCATAAAAAGAAAATGAGCATATCTTTCACTTTTTGAAATATTTGAGGGGTACTTATAGAGGTGGTAAAAAACAAAAATCCCTATTGGCTATTACATATTAATGCACACATAGTTTGTTTTTAACATTTCAGATAAAAGAAGGGCAATATAGAACTCAATGTACGTGTAAGCGAAATTAGTTGTATATATTTGCTGGAGGTCAATTACCTAGCTTCATAAGATAAATTACTTAGTCCTGGACACTATGTTGTGTTTGCCATAATACGGAAATAAACTATCGTAAAAACATTCCTAAGTACACACTTTCCCAAAGGTGTTTGTGGTTTTATGAATCTCTAGATCTCCTTTTGAATCTCTGAAATTATTAATTTTAACCATTAGAGCACAAAAATCTTTAAATGGATTTTGCTTTCATAGTAGGTCACCCTTGTTTTTTCATCCACCTGCTTAGCTGAAGAAGGAAAGATAAAAATGATGCCAAATGAATAAATTATTGAGTTTCTAAATTTATTTAACTTCCAGATCTTCTTTGGAATGAAGGTCAGGTAGTAGGATTTGTACACACCTTGGTTATATTTTAGACTGAGACACAGAATGGAACCAGCAGCAGGACTCATGAATATATTACCTTAACAAATTTAATAGTATGTATCTCCTTGTGCTGCTGATAAAACACACCAGCTAGACAGGTGGCTCTGAAAACTGAATTAGAGGGGAGGGAGGATTCGGTAAAGGGACATGAAAATCAACTACATTCTATATTGATAAAATATAAAATAAAAAAGAAAGAAAACTAAATTAACTTGTACATGGCATTACTAAGTTACTATTTCATCACAACCAGGTTGTAATTTATTTTTAGTAATGTTTTGGTTTTGCTTTATTCAAACAATGACAACTGATCAAATGAAAAAAACAATGTAATAAAACACTGGGATCCACAAACACAATTTTAGTTTTCCTTAATATCAGGTTGTCATTAGGAAATATTCTACAATTTCTTTAAATTACAAATGAAGTAATACATTTCATATATATTTCAAAAGATTATTTTTCATGACTAAGTCTCATGCAACTAGCAGATTTAAACATCTTGTACTTTAAGAAACAGAGGATAGGTTAAGGGATTTTGTTAGTCAAATGGGAGATTTGAAATGCTCAATTGACTTCTTTTATGAGAAACGTTTCTTAGTAATTGTAAAACAATATTAGAAATATTATTCTTTTAGCCAATAATAATTGAGTGCTTAACTGATAACTAGATTTGTACTTTCCATTCTTGTGGCTTAATTTAAAAATGGGGGTTCCATTATCTTCGTTTCAAAAGTTTTGGGGTTTTTAGGTGTTTCTTTTGGGGGCTATTCTCCATATTGTTGACATTTTAAAATAGATATAAAAAGTCTGCTTATATTTACTAGGTGTTATAGAAAGAAAACCCACCCCAGGAACTTATGAGATCATTGTGTATTTCTGCTTTTGGAAAAAATTTGTTGTCTTAATATGTACCATTAATGATTTTGGAGGACAGGATGGTACAGTGGAAAAAAACAAAACAAAACCATAAGCTTAGGAGACAGCTGGAACTTACTTTGCACATCCATGGAATGATGACTTTGGCAAGTTAGTTGATATTTCTCTGCTTCATTGTTCTCATCTGGGAAACAATACCTATCTATCAAATATTTGCTTTAAGTGTTAAATGTACAAATGTATTTTAAAACATTCCTGGTACAAATTATGTTTCAATAAACATTTATATCTTTTCCCTAATAAGATATGCTCTGATTCTCGACTAACCTTCCTCAGTAATATATTTATTTGGGGAATAAGGAATTGATAAAGAAGTAAAGATCTGTGTATGTAGCTCAAAAGTACCCCTTCGTGTAAGTCTCTACTCTCAACTTATTTTTTTTCTATCCCCTCTTCTCTTTTAAATATATGTATATCATGGACTGGACACTTAGAAGCATAATACATGTATAAATCTTATGTTTAGTGGTCTATGATATATGTGAGCAGTTTTTGTAAATTGCTGGTATTTCTTATCAATTATTACAAAAGGTGAGAGAAGTAAACCCCTCTGGACTTTTAACATTTCTCAGGAGTTACAGGTAAATCCATGAACATACGATTTAAAACCAAAATTACCCATATCCTGGAGTTCATTCTCTACTGTTTATTCTTTGTTAAAGCAGTGAGCTACCAGTAGTTCCAATGGTATAATGAATGAAGCAACACTAGAAATTAGGCCCCAAATCATTGTACCTTTAGTTTGTTCAGCAGATAGTAAGACATCCCACGAAGCATCATCATATATTTTCAACTGTTTTATACTCAATCTACTTTCTTCAGCAACCTTTTGGGAAATATGCCAAGATAATTTGCTGGATAAATGCGTCTATCATCTAAAAGACATTTGGAATACTTTTATAGTTTGACCCCCCTGAGACACTTTATAAAGGAAACCATTAGAAAAATTTAACAAAGAAATAACTAGGTTAAGGATGAATGCAATCTAGGCGTTGGTACTGAGTTTGCCACAGTGTCATAGCTTCACTTAAGAGCTGTAGTTCTTCCTCACCTTACTGAGGGCCACGAGTTACTTTATTTTAATCTCCCCATTAATCAAGACTGTTACTGAAGAACAGCTAAAAAAGTACAAAATATCACGAAATCTTTTCAAGAGGCACTTCACAGGGGCATTTGTATTCTAGCATATACAGATGAAGCAAATCCTTAGTTAACTGCTAAAGTTGCTCTCAGTACAGTCCACTGCTTCGTCCCGTGCTCTGACTCCAGCCTCATCCGGAATGCTGCCGAGGGAATCTCTCCTCAAATGGAATAAGAGTCAGCACCTATCCAAGAGCTACCCTGCGTCATCGTAATCTAGGGATTTTAGGATACGGGGGCATATCTGCTGTCACTCCCAACGCCCTCTTTTCCCCATCTGCTCTCCGATGAAGCCGGGCTCGAGAAGTTGGAAGAGAGTATCGATTTGTCGTTACTTGCTGGGCACTGCACAGCGCCTAAAGCTTGGGCACCTACCGAAGTCCACCTCGACCCGTCACAGTCCTCTGGTCCTTAGTCTTCAGGTTTTCTTCCCTTTAGCCTCCTGGGCCTAACACCCACAGCGGAGATTCACCCGCTCCTCCGCGGTCGTAGGGACGAATTTACCTGTTGCCTCTCACCCAAATGCCAGTCACTAACGCTTCCCTCTCCACCCCCAGTGTCATCCGTACGAAGATTCACAGGCCCGGGATCGTTCAAGGGCTTCACATGCACTTTCCGTCTGAAAACCCTGAAATATAAACGACAACTGGAGCACACACTCCTAAATGTCTCTGGAAATCCTTTTGTCCCATTTCTCTGCGTATGGCTTCACGGTGAGTGGCAAGGGCCGGATCTAGATTTAAAGAGGTACAGGGAGTTATTCCCAGTTGGCTCCTCCTTCCTCCGGGAAGTCGAGCACCCAGGAAGGCTTGCAAGCTTTCCGCCGCTCCACGTTTGCAGCCTTCATTGAACTAGGTAGGGATGGGGAACTGGGGGAGAAAAAAGAGTCATCGTGGGCGGCTAATTGAACCCGCCGTCAATCCCCCGCGTCCGCGCGCAGGTACCGGGCGACGTCGCGGTGGCCCCGCTCCTCAGCCAGGTCCACGGGCAGGCGGCCCCAGGCGTCGCGCACGTCCAGCCGCGCCCCGGCCCGGCGCAGCGCCACCAGCGTTTCCAAGAAGCCCTCCCGGGCGGCGTCGTGCACCGGTCGGGTGAGGGTGGCAGGGTCCGCGCAGTTGGGCTCGGCGCCGTGGAGGAGCAGCAGCTCGGCCACTTGGGCGCTGCCCATCATCATGACCTGCGGGAGAGAGCGAGTGGTCAGGACGAGGGCGAGGGCAGTGAGATGCCAGCCGGGGCGGGCAGGTAGAGCCGTTTTAAAGAAATACCTATTTGTGAAGTATCCAGCCAACGCAGAGCCACTTAAGAGCTTCAGGTGTCTGGTTTCTCTTCATTTGCTGACACAATCCACTCACTTCCCCCACCCGTTTATTCTATTTACTTAGCTCAAATTAAATTTCATTTTAATTTAACTTTTCTCGAAAAGTGCAGAGACAAGAAAGCGCTGATGGTAAAGTGATTATTATCACTGTGGAAAAAAATTCTTGATTTCCATTGGAACATGGGAATCTATTTTGTTGAATGATTTATGAGCGGAGTTAAGTTTAAATGGCTTTTAAAGTCTTAAATTATTTCCCTGCTGTTCTCTCCCTTCCCCCCCTCAAAAATCTAGGTGTAGAAACGTTTATTAGGTGGTCAACTTAAATTTTTTAGACGTTGGGAGTAATGCTTTAGGGGAGAAAATAAACAACTAAGTTTAGGAAAAGGTTTAATTTGTTTAGTTCTCATAGCAAATCCCCAGTAGAAAGCTTCTGATTTTTGTCTTACGTGTCTGTGTTCATAGATTGTAGCCTAATAATTTGAGCCAAATTTGAAGATTAGCGGGTAAAAAAGGAAATCAAGTCACACAATCTTATAAGGTGATAAAAACAAATGATTTGTTTTTAATAAATGGTTCACTATTTTAAATATTTTAATATTATATAGATACATGTTAAAATTTAAAGTGTAATATAGTTAATGCAATATGTAAAATTAACAGTATATTTACATTGTACAGGATTTTATAACTGCTATGATTTCATAATGTTAAATGGTAAATATTTTGCTATGTAAAAATAGTGCCTGGATATTAGCAGTCATATCAGAACAATGCAAAACGGACAAAAAACAAAACAAAACAAAAACCCCCAATGTTTTGGAGGACCAATCCTATAGCAGCCATTTGTGTACATGTACATTATGCAAGCATTTGCTTTTGTATTTTAGGTTAACAGTGAAAACAATTTTTGATCACTAAATGTCCAAACGGAGTTGTTTTGTTTTGTTTTGTTTTTCTCTCTTGTGGGTTTATGCAATTTGAAATGTACCATGTAACTGTAAAGGCAGTATACTTCTAGCGTTTTTTTGTTAATAAAAGTTATTAAGTACTGTGGTTGAGGAATCCCGTCTCATTCTTTTTAATTCAATTAGCCTCTATGAGGAAAGAATACAAAAGAGTTCATATAGCTGCTTAAAAGTTTATGGTGAATTTTTTTTCATGTACTATGATTTTGTAGAAGAATTCCTTAAATCCAGTGAAGACTGTGTAATTTGTGATTTACTTATCTTTGTCGTTGGAAGCGGACAGACAAAACAGTCCTTCTCCCCAAATAACCTTTCCTTTTCTCCCCAATTGATCTATTCCTTGTATCTCTGATCATGAGATGGCAGAACAAATATTGATATTTTTCCACCATTAAAAAGAAAATCAAACTGAAGTACAGGGTTTTTCAATTCCTTTCTTTAGGGTTTTTTACTGAGTCTTTAGTTTTTTTCTTTAGGGTTTTTGACCTGCCTTACGTCTGGGCCCCACACCTCCAACCACAGAGACTGTTGCCCAGGTCTTGGTCCCAATCCGGACCCACAAAGGCCGCGCCCCGCGTTCGCGCGCCACCTGCTGGCGAGGTCCTAGGGCCCCAGGTACCTGTATCGGGCGCCTCCCGAAGCGGTTGACTCCGTTGGGATCTGCGCCGGCTTCCAGGAGCTGCCGCACCTTCTCCACTTGCCCCCGCGCCGCGGCGTTGGCCAGGCCCGCATCGCTGCCGCCTCCACAGAGCATGCCCTTGTCCTCTACGCGCATTCCGCAGCCCCCAGACACAAAGCGGCCCGGATAATGCACCACTGGCCTTGAGCTTTCCGACACGCCTCCTTTCTTTCCCACACCGCCCCAGCGCACTCCTCCTCCCCAGGAGTTCTCCCCAGCTTGTCTCCTCTCTGTCCTTCTGCGGCTCGGGTCCGGTTCAATAGCCAAGCGGTCCGTGGTTAGCTCCGAGCTTTCTTGGCTCCTGAGAACCAGGGGACGCACCCGGCTAGTTCCCGGCAAAAAGCGCCTCGCACGGCCGCAGCCGAGCGCAAAGCGGCTCTGGTGGCAGAGTGCGGGCGCGTCACCGCGAACCCACTGCCTGGCCACACTGTCTGACTGGGAGCCAACCGAGAACGAATTGCGTTTCCAGCTGGGCCGCCCGGCTCTCCCCACCCCCTTAGGCTCCGCCCCCGTTCGGCTGGCCCGCGCGGGCGCGTCCCACTGAGCATGCAGGGAACACTGGCCCGCCGCCGATGACGTCACGGGCGACGGGAGTAGGGGCGGGGGGAGTCCACCCCCGAGGTACTGGGACGCATGCGTCAGAGACCGGGCGAGAGAGCCACCTGGAACGCTGGGCGCGCGGCTGGCGGGCTGTCCAGTAAAGCCGAGGCTGAGTTTTTGGAAGTGTTCACCCACTGCACTCAGCTCCTACTCCCCAGCAGGCGGAGCAGAGGACTTCTTTCAGCTCTGGGCCAGCCGGTTTCACTCCGGAGACGTTAGACGCTCCCTGTATAATCTCGTGGCTGAGAGAAAGGCGCTGAACATAACTCTGTCTCTCTTAAGATGTCTGAAAGTGACAGCTCTGCACCTGTCATGCAGGTTACATTCATCCCCAGGCAGTACTTGAACTTCACAAGTTTCACATCTTGCATCAACCTTAGCAATTTTCTTTTGGGTGTGTCTTTCTATTTGAATTAGTCAACCAGAAAAATAGTGAAAAATCCCAAGAATCCTGTTTTGCATATGCTTTGCATTATTTTCAAAATAATTTGAAAATAATTTTTCAAAACATCCCCCCCCCCAAAAAAAAACTAGTTCGAGATTGAGAGCGGCAACCTGACACACATAAGACACACAAAATATATTTTAATAATATGAGATTCCAGTTTCATGATATTTATACAGTATATCTTGTTTGCACTCTTTCCTATTTAAACCCACCTTGGCAAGTATTTGATTTTTATTTATCATGAGTAATAAAAGAAATTTATGCAGCAATAATGAAACATAATAAAACAGGGGTGTGGTGCTGGGCCTGTCATTAAATAGGCTGAACCTGTCATTAAATTCTCTTCTGAAGATTTAAAGGCCAAGTGCTTTTTTTCCTTTCTAATCTTCCTAGGTGAGCTTGAATCAACATATTTATTGCTTTAAAGATTTAAAAAAATACAGCTGATGCTACATTAAAACAGGAAGAGAACAAGTTATGTATCTGTTGCCTAGAAACTTTGGTCTTCACTACATGATAGTGGACCTCTCCTAACACTAAACAGTTCTTATTTACAAAATCATTTTGGTCCAGTGTTGAGGAAGACAAGATCTGAAAGGGAGGCCAATTGCTTGCTTATTCAAAAATGAGAGATTCCACAATATGTTTCTTCTAGCATAACTTAACTCTGACTCCCCCTTCCCCTAAACCTGTAGGATGAGGAAAAGCTCGTTCCATTAAGGACAGTGAGGCTCGTTGAAGTGATTAAGGTTGATGATCTGCTGACTGAGCTTCAACAGGGCTGATATCCATCTGGACAGGGAAGGGAAGGTGGCAGCATTAATAACACTTCTTCTTTCTTTCCCATCCCACTCCATTTCTTAAGTTTCCAGTTTCTTAATTCCTCCATCTTTCACTCTTATTTGAACTTCCACACTTATTTGGGAACCATGTCCTTTTATTTGTTGATGGACACTTCATTCTTGGATTTGGCCAGAGGAATAGAAATCTAGTTCTGGCTGAAAAACATGGATAAGGTTTTTGTCTACTCTTGGGAACCAGTTCTCGTGCACAGTGTATTGGGTAGAATAGGAAGAGGAGGAGGAGGAAAGATGGGCACTGGGAAGCCAGAGCCTTTGAAATGAATTGCATTGGTTCTTTGCCGGTTACTCTGAGGAGTTGAGTCACCAGACTGATGTTGGTGGATGTGGTGGCAAATGGACACAGTCCAGAGTATCTTTATCAGAAAAGCTTAGCTACTCTGAAATTTAATGCACAGTTAAATTGCCTTCCTTAGAAGGCAACAAAGAAGGTTGCCTTCTAAGGAGTGTTGTTGGTACAGTCTCTCTAATGGATCTAGTAATTACATTTAGTTCAACAAAACTTAATACAGCATGTCCTATATTCTAGGAGTCCACAGGTGAATAAGATATGGGTCCTAGCTTTTAAAAAACTTTCTGTAGTGGCACTCAAAACTAATGAATAGACAATTTAAATTTAATATGATAATTCTACTGAAAGATATTTCTACAGGGTACTTTGGGAGTAAGGCAGGGAACTTAGCTTAGGATGGAGGAGCAGGGAAAGTTTCTTAGAGGATGTGCTAACTGAAGAGAGTCTTTAAAGGTTGCATCAGAAACGAACTATTTCCAGTGTTCTTGCTTTGAGCCTTGGATTTCTCTGAAACGTATCAAACAGGTTAGGAAAAAATAGTCTGAACCAATTTCTGAGACACTTTCTTAAGTGGTAGGCATGTCCAATGTGTCTGAAAAATAAAAACAATTTGAAGTTGACTTTAAAAAAATGAAAGAGAATTGTTTTTCTTGGAAGGAAGCATAGATAAAGAGTGACAAGATAGGGAAAAAGCCAATGAGCAGAATGACGGAATCTTTCACGAGGCAGATATGTGAGCTTCGCTAGGAAAGTTGACTGGAAAATAACTTTGGGAGGGGAAATGTTGCCAGGGGCATCTGCGTTTACTAGCACCACGGACAGCGCTTCCCTTGACTCTCGTCTGGGTGGTCCTAACCTGCTCCAGACTGAGAATTCTGTAAGAAGCATCAAACGATCTTCCAAAGGCTTTTCCTCCCTTGAAATAAAAAGGTAGCTACGTGGAAGCTCAATGGACTCCTTTGCAAAGCCAACCTGCTCAACTCGGCTTCCAAATATTATTAGATTTTATCTAATATTCTCTCTATAATGAATATCAAGTATTTTCTATATTTAAGAGAAGAGAGAAGTCGCACTTATTGTCTATTCTGTTCCAAGTGCTTTAGAAGTATCATTTAATTTAACACTCATAAAACTTAAATGCAGCGTGCATTAGTATTCCAATTTTACAGACAAAAGTATCAGTCACGTTAAGTAACTTGTATACTAGCTAATCATTGTTGGAAGTAGGGGTCTAACCTGTGTGGCTTCAGAGCCTCTGCTATTTACATATATAGTGTTTTTAGGAGCTGTCATGGTAGGATTAACTGGGGGAGGGGTGAAGCAATATACTGGCTTATAATTAATTTTCAGACTACACTGTGTTTTCCAGATGGCTGACCTCACAGCACACCCTTAATAAACTTCAAAGATGACATTTCACATGCAATACAATAGCACATTTGTCTTGAACAATAGAGTGAGATAATGAAACATTTTACCTCTCTCTGAAATCCAGCTGTCTCTAGAATGAAATACAACTGTTGTTAATGCTTTAAATGCGTTTAAGAGACGAAGCAGATGAGAACATAGTGGGCAGCTGAAACTTGAAATTGTCACATCCGTGTGTTTTAATAGGGTGGGGAATTTATAAGTGAGAAGGGGAAGGTAAATGATAAATTGGCACAGAATTTTGGACGTAAATGAAAGGGAATGAGTAGAATAAGTTCTAATAATGCAGATCACTAGTGATAATGTTTATATTCTAGTTGGTGAAACTGTGTATGACCCCACTATAATAGTGTGAATAGAATTAGTTGAGTGGTCATGAGAAGTAGTGACATAATGCTGTCCTCATCTATGTGGTCTTTTGTGTGTGGTTGGGTCTAAGACAATGTTTCTAAGTGGGGAGAGAAGGAAAGTTAGAAACACTTGTGGGGCTTTTTCAAATTCTATGTGACCCGTCTCCCCAACAGGAGGTTTGATTCTTTCCATTTCAGAATGGAAAGAATGATTACTCCTGAATACACAGTATAACCCCTTCTATATCCCCATTTGTGTTTCTTAAGTTGAATTGAATGTTGGGCATATTCATCATTTTAGCATCTGTATTAGTTTGCTAGGGCTGCCATAAAAAAAACACCACAGATTGGATGGCTTAAACAATGGATATTCATTTTCTCATTTTTGGTTTCTTCTGAGGCCTCTCTTCTTGGCTTGCAGATGGCAACCCTCCTGCTGCCTCTTCACATAGTCATTCCTTCGTACACATGTGCCCCTAGTGTCTCTTGTGTGTCAATATTTCTTCTTATAAGGACACCAGTCAGATTGGATTAGGGCACACTCTTAGGGCCTCCTTTTAACTTAATCACCTTTTAAAAACCTCTTTAAAGGCCCTATGACAAAATAACAATCACATTCTGAGGTACTATGGGTTAGTACTATAGCTTACCTCTTCCAATTTTTACATGTAACACTTTTTATTTCTTTAAAAACTGTTAATAATAATGTATTTAGTTGAATAAAGATGAAAATAAGGTTAACGCATTGGAATTTGTTGAAATTGATAAGACTGGTCTCGTGTCTCTTAATCTACAGTTTTCCCCTTTCCCTTTCTTTATTCTTTCAATTTTTTTGTTGCAGAAATTGGGTTATTCTGTAGTTTTCTGAAGACTGGATTTGCTGAATGCTTCTTCACAGTGACATTTAACATTTTTTTCTGTCATTTGTATTTCTTGTAATTTATTATTTAGATATAGAGTCTGGATGTGACTCAGGTTTGATGTTTTGGCAAAAATACTTTTGCCATTGCTTATGATCTGGTTGTCTCTCTTTCTATGATTCTAGCAGCCATGGATAGTTATTTCTTAGGTCTTTTCTTTTTTAGGGGTGGCTAAATTGTGATATTCTACTTTTATTTTTCTTTCTTCATTTACTA